GGCTGCGAAGGTGACTTACAGGGAAAAGTGGAGAGGGCCCCCGAGTGGCTCTCACCGCCAGCTCCGCATCATACTTCATCCCTTCGTGAGCAACAACTGTGCCCAGAGTACGAACACAAGGTTTACCCAGGAGATTTGCATGGCCAAGTCTGCCACAACGGAAGCAGAATCGCCTCAGTCCCTCATATTTCAGGTTGATCCAAGTTCCTTTATTCTTTACATGTAAGAGAGTAAATATCCTCATAGTCATAACCACTCCAATCTCACCCTGAAAAGTTCATACAATAAACTTTTGCTTGAAAGTTAATTCCAAACTCCAAACATTGTAATTTAACAGGTGGATTTGTACACCAATTAGTTCTTAGAATAGTTGTATTTCTTTTACTAATGTTTGAAGAAGTTTGGACGGGTTGGGTAAGGTGGTGATATAAGTGGCGATGGGGTGGGGTAGGCTAATGGTAACGGTGGTGATGTCATATGTCATTTTTGGAGGTCGAATATCAATGGAAGTACTATCAACTGATGTGGTGATACCATACTATTCTATAATTTTTCCAATGTTTGGGCACATTTGTTTCATAGTGGTGGGGATATTAGAAAATTAAGGCTTGCATTAATTGCACTTTTTTCATGACCATCTTATCTCTTTAACAATTTATCCCCGTCATCAAACCAAGGGGAATCCCATGAGCTTGTATCCAGTAGGTTGCTTTATTTGGATGAATTTCTGCTAGTGTAGAGCTTTGTGGCCATGGCTGGATGGAGAAAATGTCGTCGTTGACATGCCAGGGACCTTTCTCAATAAGCTTTTTAGCCACCACAATAGATGCAGCAGTAATAATATATACATTGGGACTGGCCCATGCAATCTTGACATCGTCCGAGCGTACGATGTTTCGCCACTCACGTTGGAGGGCATTCTTCACTCCACCGATCTGAGGTTCTTTCTCAGTGATGAGGAAGCCGGTATTTAGTGAGATACAAAGGCAATGAATTGTTAATTAGCTAATTTCGCTGACAAAAGCTAGATGGGACTTTTTCCCTAGGCGGAGAATAGGAGTCTTACTGTAGCTAGCCAAAAATGACCTCTCCATCGCCTGAAGCCAAACCCAGCATCTCCGCCGCCCCATCCTTCTTCTTCCTCCTCCCACCCACACACCAAAGTTCTACTCTATCTCTCTCCCACGGCCTCCATCACCTCTGACGGAACTCAGCCATTTCCGATTCGGCTGCAAACTTCCCCCACGGCCTTTTTCTCTCGCCTCTGTTTCTTCACATCCCTCTGTCCTTCTTCTTCCTTATGGCCTACTGATTTAATCTTTTGCTTCATTTCTTTGCTGGTGGGGGTAGTTCTCTGCGACCCAACCAGACTCTCTACGGTTTCACCCTTGGTGTTTTCTTTCCTTCCCTTTGAGTTTGGCTCGATGGACATGGACTTGGGGCTCTGCTTTGCGATTTTGTCCCTCAGCTTTTATGGCTCGAGCTTGTTAGCTTTGCTGCTGTGAGCTTCTCTTTCTCTCTATGACCATGGAGAGTGAGTTGGAAGTTGCAGATCAGTTTACCATTCACCTTGAAAACAACCTGGGCTTGACAGAAGACAGGTGGGGGTAGATTCCATTAATTAGCATTGATGTTAAGGATGTTGATGTATGTGGAATATTTCCAGTCAGATTTCAAGTCACACATTGACAACCTCAGCATTAAGACAACGTTGACTGACTTCAGAGGTTTTGTATATATTATTACTTCTTTTCTCCTTTCCAAGTTGCATGATCAGATGGCTGCCACTTTTCTAATTTCCCACGTGCAGTGGGCTCAATGCTTTGACAAGTGACATCCACATTGAATATTGTTATTATTATATTGAGCAGTTTAATTTAGAGTTTGAAATATTTATCTACAATTCTTGATACTCATCTCATGGCTTTTCCAATTTAAATACTTTTTCTTGTTCACAATATCAAAGAGATGGAGTGGACTCACAATAAAGCTATGAAAATTTAACTAAACTTCTTATAATATTCTAAGAACTTTTTTTATTTTTTTATACAAGCGATATTAAAAGATGGAAGAATTGAACTTAGAAACCTCAGGTGAGAAGAATACAACCATTTAATTTCCTTGACAATTTCTGTATGAGAATCCGACGACCGTACTATGTTTTTCATGGGGACACAATAAATTTCAGAAAAGTATACGTTAATTTTTCGAAAGAAGAAAAAAAGAACTATTGTGGAATTGAACCGCAAGGGAAAATAACAGTTGGAAATTTATTTCTTTGACAATTCTGTATGTGACAGGAGGCCTACATATCTTTTGATTTTGTGGATGAGAATCTGACGACCGTACTATTATCTTCTTTCGTGGGGACACAATAAATTTCAGAAAAGTACACGTGGATTTTTCGAAAGAAGAAAAAAAATACTATGGTGTAATTTTCAAAAAATGGGGCTAACCAACCACTCTGGATGGTGAAGGCCTATCTGCAAGTTGAATCAGTCAAAGGTGATGAATGGCTGAGCATTTTGATGATGTGGAAACTGCCCTTGAAGCAAGAAGCAGCAAATTGGTATGAGCAGATGGCGGCTAGCTTCTCCCGCTGATTCTGAAACTCATCATCTCTCTCTCTCTCCTAACAATATGAGAGTGAAAGGGAGGTTTCTCTGAGGTTTCTCTGTAAATCTGGGTGCTTGTACCATCATTGAGGCTGAGCTATGGGGTCTCTTTTGGGGGCTTAGATTGGCTTGGGACGCTGGTTACCGTGATGTGGAGATTGAATGCGACTCTAGTGCTGCTGTAACTCTTCTTTCCTCTCCTACAGCTCTAACTCACCCTCTTTACAGCGTCATTTCCTGCTGCAAAATGAAGATCCATGATTCCTGGTGTTGTGCTTTTAAACATATATACCGTGAACAAAACGTAGCTGCTGATGCCTTGGCTACCAGAAGTCACAATCTTGAACCTGGTCTTCATGTCTACGATGAGGTTCCAGTTTTCCTGGAAAATATTCTTGCTGCTGATGCTAGGGGTGCTGTAAGGCCCCGCTCTTTTGGTTTGTAGTTTGTTTGTTTTGGGCTTTTAGCCCCCCTTTTACCCAAAAAAAAAAGCTATTATTTCTTTCTTGGGTACACAAGCGATAGTCTCTGAACTAATTTAAACTAATGTAATCTACACGGAAAGGGATTTGAATTTGGGTGGAAGGGGTAAGCTCGCCGTCCTAACCAATTAGCCTAACCCACATTTGCAGATGTATACAAATACAATGATATAGTCCAAACTACTCTAAATCTAAACTACTATATTACCTTCCTTTCATAGCCAATATGACTTTTTCCCTTGAAACTAATTATGTCTTACCTACAATCCATCATTTTATTTTTCTATAAATAAAACTCAATTTTTATAATTAAAACCTGATGGTTGGATTCGACTCATCAATTTACCTAATTAAACTTAAAATCTAATTTATTGACCACTAGTGGGCTAATTGAGCCACTCAAGTGGGTCTTTATTTTTTTGAGAGCAATATGATTGGCATGGTTGTTTTATATCAATCTCCACTTTGTGAAGAAATCGAATTGAGAATGAATTCGAATGTGAAAGGGTTTAGAGTTTAGGGAAATCAGAACCAAATATTCCTCCAGTAAAAGTGTTTGCTAAATGTTTTCTTTAACATTGTCACCAAAACATTGTCAAGTAACCTCAAAGACTTGGAAATTCACATTTTTCTTGTGATGAGGGTTTTTATCCTCTATGATGTTGATTCAATAATTTCGTGTTGGTGTGCACCTGAGTTAAGCGTATAAACTAATGTAGTGTACTTATCTCTTTAAACTCGATTCCTCTTATTGTGCATTAGAATAATTTAGAATATTATTTGTTTTAAAAAAAATATCATGGTTGGTTAGTTTGTAGTGTCCATCATAGTCCCTAAGAGCAACTCCACCCATTTGCCCATTGTCATGGCAAGGGGGGCTAGGGCAGCCACTATTCACGTGAATAATGGTTGCCCTTGCAAATAGTATATTTTGTGTTTCCACCCGTTGTCATGGCTAAGGGCAATTACTATTCATTTTTTTGTTTTTTTCACAAATTTTTTTACCTCAATAATTAATTTGGATAATATTTTCGGATAAGATTTTTGGGTTCGTACATGTCAATATTTATTATAAAATTCATATCTCAATCGGATAAAATTTTGGTATTTATAGAAAAAAAAAAATCAGTAATTTTTTTAAAAAAAAATTCGATTTTTTTTCATATTTTTATTGCACAAAAATTGGCTGCCGTTGGATTGGAGAAAAAAATTTGATCGGAGAGCTCAGAGCACGACACGTGGACTTTAGTGGCACTGTAGCGGCACTGTAGCACACGAGCACTGTAGCGCGTACTGTAGCGCTGGCGTCATCCTGACGTCACCCCAAACCGAGTTTTGGACCTCGGGCTGAACTGGCCTTCGGGCCAGCCCGACTTGCTGGGACCCGCACCTTGCCCGGGCTTGGGCTCACCGCTGGAAACTGCTTTTTTTGGTTTTCTCCCCCCAACCTTGGGCTAGGCTGATGGCTGGAACTGCTCTTAGAGCTCCATCGGAGAAGATGTAGCAGAAAAGAAAAAATAAATTATATTTATAATAAATATAAATAAATAAAACTCAACTCTTTAGAGCAACTCCACCCATTTGCCCCTTGTCATGGCAAGGGGGGCGCTAGGGCAGCCACTATTCACGTGAATAGTAGTTGCCCTTGCAAATAGTATATTTTGTGTTTCCACCCGTTGCCATGGCTAAGGGCAACTACTATTCATTTTTTTGTTTTTTTCACAAATTTTTATGTAATGATTGATTTTCAAGTTTATAAAAAATAAAATAAAAAAAGAGATGGATTCAATTGCCATATAAACCATAGGAGTAGGATTGCTTTTGCTATATTTGAAACTACAAGGATTAAAATGAAATTGAGTCAAAATTATAAGTACCAAAAATATACTGTTGATAGAAACCTTCTTTTTACCCAACAAAATTGAACGAAACCCATCTTTTATTATCTTCTCGCATTTCTAAGGCAACACTGAGTCAGAGAAGGACATAGCTCACTGCCCTGAGGTTCTGATCTCTCTCTTAGCTATTTGTTAATCATTCAGAGCTCTTTCTCTCTATTTGTATGATTCAGCTCTCTTCCCCTGATTTATGTTTCCTTTTCTGAAATTTAATGGAATTGATGATCTGGGTTTTGTTTTCAGAGAGGAATTTGTGATTAGATTTGGGGTTTTGTATAAACTGCGCAATTTTGGTGTTTCTCGGGAATTATTTGGGAAATTTGTGATTAGATTTTGGATTCTGGGTCAACTTGGCCTTTTTCCTGATCTTGAATGTGTTTTGAATCTGACTTGATCTGCTTGTATGCAAACAAAGTTCTCTTTTTTCTCTATGGATGTAATGTTAGGGTTCTCAGTGCTCAGAGCTCAGAGCTCTGGTTGATTGTGGAGAAATTTAGGAGGAAAATGAAAATGATATGATACCACAATGCAAATATTGACTAAGAAGCTGGTTTGGTTTGACTTCTTTATCCTGATTAGAACCTTAGTGTGTGTGTGTGTCTAAATGAAAACATAGGTTAAAGTTTTTAACTTGGCCCTTGTATGACTCTTTTTTTCTTCCTCTGAGTTGCATAATATTTTTTATTATCAAGAATTGTTATTTTATGTTGAGACTAAGACAGACAAAGTCTTTTTGTAGATTAAAATTCAATTGATTGCGATAATTGAAATGAAGAAAGAAGGAAATGAGGAAACAAGTATGGAGGCAGTGAAGAAGTTCTTGGAGAAAGAAGGTGAAATGGCAATCACCATGGATGGGCTGCCAGAGAGGTTCTTTTAGCCCTTTATCATGAAGGGCATTCAAGTCGATCTCCTTGAACCCGGTCGTATTGTTTGCTCCTTCAAAGTACCCCCTCGTTTGCTGAATGGAGGCAATTTTATGCATGGTGGAGCCACAGCAACCCTTGTGGATTTGATAGGGTCAGCTGCAATCCTCACCGTCGGAACTCCCACCAGAGTTTCAGTGGAGATCAACGTTTCATACTTGGATTCTGCTTACCCTGGTGAGGAAGTTGAGGTTGAGGCCAAGGCTTTACGAGTTGGGAAGGCTGTTGGTGTTGTCAGTGTTGAGTTAAGGAAGAAGAAGACATGCAAAATTATAGCTCAGGGCCGTCATACCAAGTATCTTGCTCTTGCTAGCAAACTCTGAACAGCTTGGAAGCTGGAACCAAGACCCAAGACACAATTCAGTTTGTGTTCTATGTAAAGATTTTTCCACATTGAATAAAATTTCTTTTGACTGAATTATATATGTTCACAGTTTGAGATGCAAATCAATGATCAATTGAAATTTTCCTCAGACTTGTATAGAATATTGAGAAGCCTATTGGTGTTGTCAGTGTTGAATTTAGGAAGAAGAAAACAGGGGAAACATCGTTGTCAAACTGGTGCTTCTCCCTACACTCAATAAACTGTGAACAACTTTAAACCAACATTTCAGTGTTCCAATTTACAAATTTTGCTCATGGTTATAGTTCAAAGAGTTTCACATGCAAACAATGCTCAATAGCATCTCTCCTCAGACCGATTCCAATTCGAAAAAGTTGTTAAAAACCAGAAGATTCGATTGCTTAACCTTTAGATTGTAACATGATACAGCTGGTTCATGAAAAAATAATCTAAATCAAGAAAAAAAAAAGTTGATTATTTAAGTCAATTCTTCAAAATCGCATTCCTCATCATAATTGCATTCATCATCGTAATTGTATCCATTATATTTGTCATTTGCAACATATGAATCGTCATCTTGGCCTGTCTGGCTTCAGCCTCTTCACCGTAACCATTACTTTCATGCTCAAACTCATCATCACGACTGTTCTTCTCATTTGACAGTTGCATATCACAAAGACTGCCACAATTAGACTTTGTGCCTTCATGAAATGCAGGTGCATAACCCTGATTTTACACATGAAGAAAAAGATCATATGAAACAAATTCGGTATCTATTAAAGTTCAGGCAATTACTCGCAGAGAGATACCTCCATTTTCTAAAACCTTCCAGGATTTTTAACTAGGAACTACATTGCAAAATCATTATAAAATGACAACCAAAAAAAAAAAACTTTGAACCATATAACTGCCCCATTAACTGCCCAATTAGTTAACTGATCATTCTAGTAAACCACCAGACTGATTTTCAGATATCACAGTTTCATGTCTTAATCCATGCTCAATAATAACACACCATCTTCCAAAGATTATTCTTTTATGTATTAAGTTCTATCCTGGAGTAGTTTGTGACACTTGGATATACCTTTATTCCATTAAACAGGAATTTGGTGTCTGCACACTAACCAGACATTAAGAAAACAAAAAAAAATATTGAACAAGTAACATCATTTGACAATCGAAATTAAACGTGCCATTAGATTTGATTGGCTTTTAGTCGCTTGTGGTCTGTGCATCAGTGAACAAGACCTTGGATGTTGACAGAACATGATATGGGATTTGCAAAGCATGAATAAAGCAAAATTGATTCTAAAATAAGACATATAAAAGATGCTTACAAGCTCTTCATTTAATTTATCCAAAGCTTCATAGTTGATTTTTGAACTCAGCCTCTGCAAGAACAAAATGTCACAATAGTATCTGTTAAATAAATTATAAGTAGGACAATCAACATTGCAGGAAAATTTAAGCACCGAAAATCCCATAAAACAGTTTATTATTAACTTACATTCTTAGAATCCATCACAATAGAAACTTTGACAGCCTTTTCTGGCATTTTAGCAGGAGCAGCTTTCTTGGCCATTCTGGCTCGTTTTCTACTCTTTCCCTACCAATTTTATAGTTGCATATAGAGATCAATACATAAGACTCAATGCTGGCAGTAAAACATACACAAATAGTCGAAAGATCAAAAAATACGTCAAATGCAAATAAGATTGAAGTGAAAACTTTCAACACAGTTATGCAGTGTGTGACTCAAATAACAGCTCAGAACTAGGCAAGAATTCTAAGCTGGATGAGACTTCCAAGCCTATGCTTCATATCACAATGCACATATGACATGCAGCAAACATAAACTCAATTACCAGAAACGAGGTCAGTTTTAAAAGTGAAGAACTCCTGCACAATGACAGAGCTAAGGAGAATGAAGAGGCAAATAATGCAGGGGTTGATAATCATGATTAACTACATAACCTCAATGATTTTCAATCTAAAGACTCAAAAGCCAAAAATATAGACAACAAATAAAAAGAAACCATGGAACAAACAGAAACTGAGAAAGCCCTTAGCATTGCACCGAATCCTTGTAAACACGCATATGATAAAATTTATGGATTTCCAAAGGCATTACCTTATCATAGTCCTTGTTCATTGCTTCATAAATCATTCT